GTGACACATATGCAGATCACTAGGTTTCTCTAATGAAATCTATGACTTTAAATAGATTTCTTTAAACAGATTTTTCTGTGCCCTTTGTTCTCTGCTCACCACACATCTTAACCATGTGATGAAAAATAAGGCGATATAGAGAGCAATGCCTTTGTTATAACTTATTTACTTATTATTATGCTTTAGATGAAAGTTTACAGAGCAAATCAGTTTCTCATTAAACAATCAATACATAAATTGTTTTGTGACATCAGTTGCTAACCCCTCAATGTGTCAACACTCTCCCCTTCTCTGCACTGGCTTCCCTGTTTCCATTCGTCCAGTTTTCCTAGTCCTTCCTGCCTTCTCGTCTTCGCGTTGGGCCTCAAGTGCTCATTCAGTCTCACATAAATGATTCAACTATGAAACACGTTCCTCACATGTGCTATTGTTTGCCCTATAGACCTGTCTAATCTTTGGCTGAAGGGTGAACCTCTGGAGTGACCTAAGTACGGAGTTAAAAGGGTATCTGGGGTTTCTCCAGTCTCTGTCAGAGCAGCAAGTCTGAAGTTTTTGTGAATTTGAATTTTGTTCTATATTTTTCTCCTGCCCTGTCTGGGAGCCTCTATCGCGATCTCTGTCAGAGCAGCAGGTGGTGGCAGCCAGGCACCATCTAGTTGTTCTGGCCTCAGTCTGGTAGAAGTTGTGGTAGCTGTGGTCCATTAGTCCTTTGGGCTAATCTTTCCCTTCTGTCTTTGGTTTTCTTCATTCTCCTTATAACTTTAGTCCCCATTTCCTAGAATAACTTTAACTCTGAACAAAATATCTTGCCATTAGTTTACTGAAATTGAATTAAAACTAGTAAATGCCCTGGTGCTTTATTTTAAAGAGAATGTATTGCTCCTTTGGAGCTCCTGGGTGGTGCAAGCAGTTAAAGCGCTTGACTGCTAAACAAAAGATTGGAGGTGTGGGTCCACCCGGAGACACCTGGGAAGAAAGGCTTGAAAATCTACTTCTGAAAAATCAGCTATTGAAAACCCTATGGAATACAGGTCTACTCAGACACATATGGGGTCGCCATGAGTCAGAATCAACTCCATCACAACTGGTATATTGCTCCTTTAATAGAAACAAATGCATTTTGTTATATGATAAAGACCTCACAGACATAAATTAGAATAAGAAATAAGAATACAAAAAATATTCTGTGGTTGGAGATAAGCAAAGCCAGCTGAAGGTACAGAAAGTTAAATCTAAATCTTGGCAGTGAAAAGGGGGGTGACCAGGGACAGATTACCCAATAAGCAAGGTAAGCACAGGCTTTCCTATACTTACTTACTACTCTGTAGTGAACAGTTTCACATGTTTTTTCACCACATTAAACGTGGGTGAAACTCACATGAAATTGTTCACTACAGATTAGTAAGTAAACTCAAGTAATCCCGTGCTTACCTTGCTTATTGGGTAATTCGCCCCTGGGGGTGACCCAATGTGGTACATAGGAAACTCAGTCTCTCTGGAAGAGGAAATGAGTGGATTTCCCAGGGCTGGAACAAGTTGACACTATAGAAAAGCATTCAGTATCAAGCCTTCCAGCACCAATCCTCAACTGTCACCCTGTCTAGAGAAAATAACTATTATGTGGATCCTCAGAGAAAGAAAGGGCAAGATGGATATACAGCAAAGAAACACAAAGAGTTAGAAACAACATCCTGCTGGAATGGATAGAACTGCCAAGCTAAACAGTCAAGGCCAGACTAGCTATGCACACCTGGCATTAGCAGGGATACAGTGTGGGCCTAAAGAAATACCATGAAGTGGGCCAGGGTGAAGGAGAGGGCAATTAACAATATCCCCTTGCCCTCTCGTGAATTGACCTTCCTCTATAAACTGAGAAAGAGGCTTGTATGTGAGATGTGATTCCAAAAAAAATCAATAAGAACATGAAAAATAGTTAATGTACAACCAAGGAGAATTTTGACTGTACCTCCAGACTGGTGTGTCCTGGTGGAGATATTTTGAAGAAAGAAATACAGGAGTGCTGTATTTCTCAATAAGACAAAATTAAGTGTTTAAATCTTATCCATGAAAGGAACCTTAAAATCTCAGGTGTCTCCTCTCAGATTCTATTAAGACATGATGTAAACTTTCAGAATAGGAGCAGTTTTCTTACTTTCAAGCTGGCCCAGAGGAAGAAGTTTCTAGAACTACAGAAACGTAGTCCATCTAATGTTTCAGAATTCATACCATTGAAGTATACAGTGATGAAAATCTTTCTTCTCTATAAACATGTCTCTCAAAGAGCTCACCCCCCTCATTTTGCCTTCAGTGGGGATAAGTTTTTCACATACAGCTATCAAATCAGCCCTGAGCCTTCAATACTTCACACTAAGAATTTTCTGTGTATTTTAATACTTCGATTAAGTGCCTAAGTATTTTCCAATTGTTTTAATGATTTCTTTCATAAATACTCTGTGAAAACAGTGCAGTCATATAATGTATTAGTCATCTGTAACAAATTGACTCATTTAATTTCCTTGTTTCAAATGTTACCAGGCAATTTGTTTCCATAATTACTAGATAAAAGAAAGTAAACATTTGCTTATTGGAAAGTCAATATATTTTTGCTTGATTATGGTTTAAAAATACATCTAAGAGTGCAACTGCAAGTAAGATGCGTAACTACTTTTTTTATTAATTTTGCCATTTTGAGCTTGGCAAGCCAGTTTTTCAAAGCACTGCTGTGTATAAAAAGAGAGTTTATTTTTATGTATTTTTTAATATAATAAGTTTCAACTGACATTTTAGTTCATGCAAATAATTAAATACCAAATTATAATATGTGATGAGCAGAAAATTGCCAGTAGAATATGCCTATCAAACCTGAGGAATATTGCAATGTGCATATGGGTTCAGTTCAGTTAACAGAAAAATTGGATTCCAATCATTTGCTCTTGATAGCAATTTTGCCCTCTGTTCTTAGGTTCACCTGACATAACAGTAGAAGACAAGCTGTATTTGCAAAGTACCACCTGGGAACATGCCTTGCACAAAATTCATTATTTGCTTAACAGTTATATGCACGTTCCGTACATTATTTGAGAAGTCTTCAGGTGCATAGTTGGCATATTACCAGGGGATTCTGCTTCTGCAATTTTTCAGTAAAAACTGGCGCATCTAAAAAACAAAACATAGGAAGGTTTCTGTGGGGTAGTATATCAAAGTAGCTAGACTAAAATGGAAAGACAATTTCCCCTTCATAAATTTCTCCCAAATCTCTATGAAAATTGAAATCCTAATTAGCAGCACAGTTGTTTGAGGACTGTTTAAAACGAACAAATAACAAAACCTTTTCACATAATCCTTCTTTTATACAAAAAAGAAAAAGTTTTCCTTCTCCACACCTTCTCTTCAGATCATTATATATTTTCATTAACTTGCTTTCTTGCTGGAAAGAAAGACTGTGACTTTATTAATGGTGCATAGGACCTGGGAACATTACCAGTGCTATGTAGCTAGATTCATGTTGGTAAGAAAACAATTTTTAGGTGCTGTTATTCCACATTACAACAATAATATCTCTCACAAAATGTCATTCATATTTTTGGCAAATTCAATCTTCATCATAATTTTTTAGTTCATTGTATCCCAAAGTGTACAAATCAACCACTTCCGCATCATCTTCTAAAATTCTGTATTATTTGGTCACAGTGGGAATTGGATATGAGAGAAGTGAGAGATCAGAGCAATTCTATCACACTGATCATGAAAAAAACATTATTGTCCTTCCTGGATGAATTGATGATGTCACATTTGTATACATATGAATTAAGTGACATAATTCTATAGGCTAATACTTAAGTGCAGTCCCTGGGTGGTGCAAACGGTTAAGTGCTTGACTAACTACTAACTGAAAGGTTGGTGGTTTGAACTCACCCAGAGATGCCTTGGAAGAAAGGACTAGTGATCTGCTTTTGAAAGGTCACAGACTTGAAAACCCTATCAAGCAGTTTTACTCTGCACACATGAGGTTACCATGAGTTGGAATCAGCTCGACAGCAACTAACAACAATACTTAGGTAGGCATTGTTCTGTGGGTTTTACCTGTGTCACCTCTTTTAATCTCACAACAACCCTACATTGTAGGTACTATTATTGTTTATTTTGTTTTTACAGATGAAAAGACTGAAGCACAGGAGCGGAGCCGCTGTGCAACCTGGGGGCCCATCAGGTTGGCAGCGGTAGGCCTGGCCAGGTCCCGCGGCTGGTTGTGAGGAGAAAAGGAGGAGAACCTCCGTGGTATGGTCATATGACCACAACCTCTGAGGTCCCAGCAAAAGTCCTGACATCTAACAGCTCGGCAACCAGGACAGGCCCCCTAAAACTAATCCCAACGAGCACATCTGAAGGTTAAGGCTACCTTTCCAGATAGTCCAACAACTAAGTCACCAGATTCCAAGGGCATTTGGACCACTTATGAAAAACATCGGATCCTTGCACACCAGATGCTCTGACAACTCATCCTGCCATCCGCCTGCACAAAAGTTGCTGCACCAGTGGACAACGAAGCAGACCACCAAGCTTCTTTTAATTACCAACGAGAGAGAATACTGCTGCCAACAAAACAGTGCACGAAGTGCCTCTTCACAGTATCACTACCAGTTGACACTGTGCTAAGAAAGTCAGCTTGCCTAGGTGAGGACCCTTTCTCTTCTTGGGTAGCCAGGATTTGAAGAGATACTCTGTGACCTGTGCCACTGGTAAGTGACTAACACTTATTACACACTGAACTGGTCCTGAAAACTGAGACGCCTTCTTTGTAAGGGAAGAATATACAACATAATCTTGAAGAGCTGCACAGTGGTGCAGGCCAGAGGCATACTGTGTGTGTGCTATGGACTGAGACAAATCAACCTTATTGAAAGGATTTTTAATCTCTTGTTTCTGTTTGCCAGTGTTAGTCAGTGTTTTTCCGGCTTAACTTGTTATATTTTTCTGGTTCTTTATTCTATTCTATTCTAATGGGCCCCAGAAATCCCTCTCCTGACCCACTGTCAGAATCAGAAAGTGAGGAAGAGGAAAACGCAAATTACCTAAATGAGAGTTCTGGGGAAGAGTGGGATTCCTCTGAAGAAAAAGACCTGTGGTGCCCAAATTAATGCCTCTTGAGAGTCTTGCCTGGCAGGTTAAGTGCCTTTTAAAATATTCCACAACTTGGAAACCTTTAAATCCTAATTCTTGGTTGTATCATGCTGAACTCTTGGATCTAAGTACACCAGTCCATATACTTCAAGAGATAGGTCTAAGACTCTCCCACTGTTCCCGTTGTGTACCCAAACTAGAACCAGATCCTGAATGGCCCCCTCTGGCCTCTTGTGGTGTCCCACATTTTCAAAAGCCCTTTATAAGCCCCAGCCAGCTCTCTAGAGATCATGCTACTCTAAATGGAGCACTGCAATTTGCCACCAAACAGGTAAGCCGAACATTGAGTACAGCCACTCCCATACCTGAATACCTAAAACAGATCCCGAATTCATGTGTTTCTGGTTGTTGCTGTGGCTGGCTAACTAAAACAGTTAAGGAAACAACCCACACTGAACCCATCAACACTACCTACTCTTACACTGACTTCCAGAAGGCAGTTAACAAACTCCTAACTGCATCACTATAAAGTATTCTGATACTTTTTATGTTGCTAATTGAGAAAGGGGTACAAAGAAATCATTATACAGACCACAGTTGAGAAACTAATGCTTTCTCAACTGAAACTATGCTATCCCCTGACAAGCCGTACCTACCAAGTATGGCCCCATAAGTCAGCTCTAGAAAATGTGTATTGTGGGCATCCCCCTGCGGAAAAACTGAACTTCAATGAAGAAATATTCCGGTGGGACAATATTACAAAAGTTGACTATACATATGTCCCTCCTGAATTTACTGTGCCTATTTCAATGGACTCTAACTAGATCTCCAATTATTAATAGGAAGGAAAAAGTAGGCAACCACCTCTTTTGTTACTCAACCTTCAGAATAGCCATTGTCAGTAGTAGAAAGTTAGCAACCCCCAGTAACGCTTTTCTGAACACGCTCTCCCGTTCATTTCTAAATAGTTAGATTAAATTGAATAACTCAAAAAAGGAAAATAATAGGAATATTCTCTGAGCTCTGGTGGCACAGTGGTTAAGAGCTCGGCTGCTAACTGAAAGGTCAGCAGTTCAAATCTATCAGCTGCTCCTTGGAAACCCTATGGGGCAGTTCTACTCTGACCTATAGGGTTGCTGTGAGTTGGACTCAACTCAGTGGCAATGGGGTTTTTGGTTTTTCCCAGCTTTTATATAAGTATGCTTGCATATAACACTGTAGGTGCTCCTACTTTTTGGTGGGGAAGTACAGTTTCAAACCTAACCTACACTATTCCAGGCCTGTTACAGTACCTATAATTACAGCATGAACATTCTATATCACAGGCTCCCACAGTGTCTCTGGCTAACTTGGCCTATAAGGTCGTCCCTCAAGATTAAACTGAAGCTTGTTCTATAGGGAATATGTTTCCTGTGTCTTAGAACCCAGACTTTTAGCAAGAGCAAGTTATATGCATTCCAAAAGACCAATGGGAAAGGATTAAGAAAGAATTTATCCTTTCAGAATTAACCTCTAATGGATTAAAATGCTTCATCTGTGTGACATTTCCTGGAGCAGAAGTTTATGCATTTTCCACATCCATGCAAACTTTCTTAGGGACCTTTATAATTTTAAAGAAGCTTACTATAAAAAATCTTAGCCTAATGCAAGCTGAAGTTAAGAGTTTTAGAAGAAGAGTTCCGGCAAATGGCGCTCTAGGCAGAAGCACCAAGCCGGCCCTCCACAGCAAAGATCTGAAAAACTAAGCCGAACAGAGAATACAACAATCCTGAAACCCTAAAACATCAAATGAACAGATGAAGAACTCAGCCAAGCACCAAATGGAGTGAGAAAACTGACAGAGAATGGAGAACGAGGAGAGATTCATGCAGAGGTCCCCTACCAGCTAACACAGCGCGGATCTGCCATCTTGGACTCCTATTGGAGACCAGCAAACAGGGGATATGAGAAAGCAGCCTCACGGAGAGTCCAGCGGGAGACAAAACAACCAGT